GGGGGGGCTATAAGGACAAAAAAAATAAAGGGATGTATGAAGCTTAATAGAATTTCCAGAGGGGTGGGGGGTGGGGAGGGGGTCTTAAAAAAACCACTTTCATGGGGAAGGTATGGCTATTTTCTGGAACCACACAATAACAGGCAGTGCCATCAACACCTTAGGTCCTCACAGACCTTTCAATACTCTGAACCAAGATGGCGGGTGCTGTAACACAGTGCCATCATAACCTATACAATGGAACATACCTTCATGACTACATACATACATACATAATCCTTTTCATGCTTAGGTAGTACATAAGGCCATACCTTCATGACTTCCTGGGCAGTAATTCCTCCAATAACTCCCTGCATGGGACAAATGTCACCTCTAGCATTATATGCTAGCTGCATCAACAGGCTCTCATCAACTTCGTCTACCTAAACAAGAATGCAGTCACTTTTATTTACAGGAATACTAATTACAATTATCTAATATATACTTTCACATCAAGTGTGAAGGTAGAAGGCAACTAGGGTAAATCCTCCATCAATGGACACCTCCCATTAGCCAAAGATGACACCTTACATAAGGAGATCCTTTGTCACTGTCACAGACAGATTTAATGTAAACTAAGACCTACTGTTTACTGAGGGTAACACTTGACAGTAACCTGTTACTGTTAAACTTGTAGTTATATAAAAACAAACACTAAGATTTTAAGACAGTGAATAACTATTATGCTGAAGTATAATATGGTTGAAGATACCGTATCAGTGTTCTAATTATTTCACCCTTATATATTGTACCAGCAAAAATACTGGAAACATTGTACCTGATATTTAACAACCAGCTTAACAAAAACCACATGACCTGCTCACACAGCATTTAATGTATTATAGTTGGAAATATTCAACTTTGCTCACTTGCAAGCATATCTTTTCCGAATTAATCTTCTTGGCTAGTGCTATAAACTTCTTGGCATCTTCCTTTGGAAATGAAAAGACACAGCCTGGTAAATTGTTGCTTTTCAGTGAAAGGAAACTTGGAAATTATCATGGCCTTTCAAAATAGAAAAGCACTTGAGAGAGTTTGAAAGCAACTGCAGAAGAGTATGTTGTAGTGAGGGTGTAGTTAAAGGCAGGGATCTCTTTATTAAAGTGGGATTGTGAGGTAAGCTGTGAAAGGTTTGTAAATGTATTAATTGCAAGGAGCAGATTGTGGCCTAATGGTTAGTGTACTGGATTCTGTATCATGTGGCCTCAAAAGCAGACTTTACCCTTCACTAGTAATGATTTCTGTTAAACTCTTAAAAAGTTAATAAAAACATAGTGACTGTCATGTTTGGAAGGAAGTTAATTGACCTGACACCTGAAACTAACAACAAGGTCTCCAAACTTTGCTGAAACATTAATCAAACATTACAATGTAGCTTCCGTACAAGTGTTGGATTTTTGCACCGAACTTTTCACCATTGCAACATACCTCATTTCTTGGTCTTGGCAGAGCTCCATGTTCTTTCTCATATTTATGCAGTGCCTAATTGAATAAACAGACATTTGGTTAAAAAGTGTTAGAATTACTGTCCTTGTTAGGTGGACACCAAAGCATTGGGTTTAGGGTAACATGTGACAGTAATTACACATAACTTACTTTATTAAAAGCTGCATCATTGGATAATGCAATTCAAGGGTTTTCATTGACTTAGCCATCATGAGTTATGAGCCATTGTACCGTTTTTATTTTTATTTCAGTCTAGTTTTCTATAATTTTGGGACGTTTTAAAAAACATTGTTCTGCTTGTGCTTGAGGGAGCTATGCGCCTTGTTGGCTATCTACTATTTCATACATGCAAGAGTGCTCTTATGGAATAATGGTTAAATATATCCCAGGTGAGGCTGTCCAAGTCGTTACGTGGACATCAGAGCATTAGGATTAGCGTAAGCATGTGACAGTAGTTACATACAACTTACTATATATCCCAGGTGAAGCTGTCCAGGTCGTTCCATTTTTGCAAAGTCTGTCAGTACAAACTCTGGTGCCATGAGAGACTCACTAAATGATTTCTAACGGAGACAAGAAAATGCCCCCAAAAATTAATTCATAGCACTTTTTAAGTGTAAAGTTTCACACCATCCAATAAAAAGAAAAAAAAAATTACATAGCTTTTCTTGTATTTTATTTTCATAGTCTTGAATAAAACCTGTTATTATCTTGTCATCTTGTAAGTTATAATAATGATAGTGTTTTTTAAGGTTGATCAATGGCCAGTGTGGATGGTTCTGGCCTGAGACAAAGATGTTCCCATTGTTGGACCATAAAAGGCAATTCCTTGAGTTAAACCTGGGACAGGAATGCAATGAAAAGGAAAACAAACAAAATTAATTACCAGTGTATTAATATTCATGTACTTACAAATTTGACTATTTTGGGCATTTTAACTTGAGTAGCAATACCACCACGAAGATAATCTGTAAACCCACTCGTATCACCAATACTGAAGGTATAAGGACCTGCCATGGAAGAATACATGTACATCAATTCACTAGACGTGTCATATTGCAACAAAAATGTTCATAACCCAATACAAGAATAATTATTATAGTTGTCATAAAATTCTGCAATGTTAAGTAATGCATGCAAAAATTATGTTTAGTATTAGATAGTCATAATGTAATTTACCTAAAACTTTTATTTTTCGTGGTTCACATTGATTTAATTCTGTCATTCCCTACAAGTAAAGAAAAACAAGCATAGGTTTGTGTGAAATATCACATTATGGTTTACTCAATATACTCCTAATCAGGATCTATTAATGAATCACCAACAATTTTTTGCAAGAGTCACTGAGGATCTTCACTTTTAGAATCCAAAAAGATTTCCAAGGATTATTCACTCTGCAACAGGATCTTGCAGTGTATGTGAGGTCCTGTAATGAACCTCATAGATTCCAAGGACCTTGTAAAGAAATCAGGAAGCAAGAAGGAAGAGAGGGAAGAAGGAACAAGAGTGAGGAAGGACCAATGGAGAGACAGAAAGACAAAAGGAAGGATGGATGAAAGGAAAGAGAGAGGGAGGAAGGGAGGATGGAAGAAAGAAGAGGGAGGCAGTTGTTTTATTAGTACCTGTACTTCTGAGAATGTGACAAAGTCCCCAGATTCATAGCCATGCCTTTGTTCATCCAGACAAGTCACAACACCATCTGCATCCTGAAAATATTATTACATGACTGTATATTCATCACTTCCTTACAAGCCAAATGTAACACAGAATACTAAACCTGCACTCAACCCTAAAAAGTGACAAAGTTACTAACAGTTTGACATGTTATGTACCTTAGTGACAGAGGAAATCATGTTGCTAATAGGCTGTTCTCCATTTGTATCCACAACTGTGAAACTCTCACCAAAATCACAAAATATTTGACTGAAAGCCAAAAAATTAAAATAAAACTTTGTAGTATTTAGTTACAAATCTACACTATTCTATGCACTCTTGTGCAATACTCACTGGCCTGCTCACTGCATTACACAAGGTGTCCCTGATACATGAATGGCTCCCTTGTGACTTGCCATTTCAATAATATGTCATGAGCAATACTTCCTGGATTGCACAATAACTTTAAATTTTCAAATTGGGACTTAACATTGATAACAGAGCCACATGTAGAAAAGATCATGTACCTATATGTAACTTAGCATGAAGCTCTGAATGTAGCTTTCAAAACAGACTGTTATATTATCTTATTTTCAGCACAGTACAAATATATTAAGGAGTATGACATAACTTACCACATCAAAATATCTAGCTTCCATAAGTAATTAATGCAGTAAATTAAACAAAAAGTGATTATAACATCATTGTAATTATAAAAGTTGTCCTGAATCAATTAAATTGTCATGCACTGGCATTGAGTAAAAACCTTTCTCTGTCATTATGCTCTGACAAAAAATGCGTTTAATTGTGGGTCAAAATCAAACTAACCCAAACAATCCTCTTGTGTCGGCAATAATAAACTTAATTCCTCTTGCATGGCAAAAGTCACCTGCCCAAATTTGTTCCTCTAGACTAGACTGGGTAAGCACTACAACCTGAAAATGAAAATCCAGACACTTATCTTATGTGTGAACTACAACATCAATTTCAACCTTGGGAAATACATCAGTGTGAAGTCAAGAGGGTGCAGGTGAAAACATCACAGCTTGTGCAGTGCAAGTCAACCTCGTGCCATAGGTGGCATGTGTTCATTTCACAGTATGGTACACTATGTATGTTTTGTGTCATCTTCATTAGAACAACAGTAATACAATGACATGTAACTGCAAGGTAGGTTGTTGGTACCCAGACTTTGTTAAACAACACCTCAAAGAAAAGGACTTACAATTTCAGAGGTTAGAACAGTTCTGGTTAGCAGGGACCTGAAGTTTGGAATCAACCAACCAATAGGGAATAATTATTACTGTTTGCCTCAAACCAACCTGAAATTGTCCTAAAAATTCTTCTGTAAGCTGCCCGGCATGAACAGACATATTGACATAACTGTTGAGTTCTGATATTCTGCTCAAGGAAACCTCTGCTCTATTCTTTCCAATGTCCTCACCTTGAAGAAAGAACTGCAATAACCAGATTAATAGCACTTGTCAATCTTTGAAACTTATAAATGCTTGAGTTTAAACAGGAAAATAACTTGATTTGAATGTCTGAGTACAGAGTACAGTCGTGTTAAAAATTTGCTCAGAGCACAACATTCAAATCTCTACTGGTTCTTTAACTGTTTCTGGAGTAGAATGCTACAAAACAAGGGACTGGGCACAACATGATTTGCCCGAGAGGGACCTGGCACTAGTTTATCAGACCACATTGTTCTTCAGTTACCTCCTAGTTATTCTTTATGAAGAATGATCGCTGTGTGTATAATCTGTGGAAAGGGCGATGCCTATAGTTTCAGAGTCTTTAATCCTTCAGAACAAGGATATTGTATGTATTGCATAAAGACCTTTTCAGAAACACTGACATTAAGATTTTATGGGCTCCGTGATTTTACATCCTAAGTATGATTGTGTGCTTACAGCCTGAAAACCCAACTGGTATTCTCCTGAAATTTAAGAATCATTCAACAATAAAAAGGAACCACTAATTATAAAATGTTGTGTCAGTACAGTCCTTTAAACCCTTGAGACCAGCACATTCATTTGTATAAATCAATTAATTGTTGCAGATAAGTTTAATATTCACCTGAGAGGACAAGTCTGACATTTCCACATTTCCTGAATCATGAAGGGTTACTGACTTTACGCCACCCAGTACGACGTTTTTAGCTGCAGATGAATGATACTTCTTTTGTGAGTTTTAAGATTACATTTAAACCTTTAATCTCAGGTTCTACATAAAGCAGCAATTTGCAGGATCATCATTATTAGTCCTGCCTCTCCTCTGGGAGAATATGGCCATTTGCAGGATAATTACCAGCGATTTACATGTGTACAATACAACCTGTCGCAACAATTCTGTTTACAAACTTTTGAAGATAATATATTTCTACATGTGGCTACATTGTATAAACATGAAACTTGTCTGACATAATTTATTATATATGTACATGCAAAAGACAGATGGCCTTGATTAGTACTGAGAACTCAAAGAGGAATTCTGAGAGATCTGCTAATTGATAGTGTGTACTAGTTACTGATACTAGATCAAGTTTTGACTTTCTCGTTGTGCTATTTCAGTAACACTCCTATAACTTTGCTAAAATGGCTTACAAAATTTCTCTTTTAAATATGAAACCCAACTATGTTAAACACAATATTTTCCAAGTTTTTCCTTACATGAAATAGGATACATTCAAAAATTTTCCAAAGTAAAAACAAGAAACAAGAAGCATGTTTCACCAATTTCTACTCCAAGTCCTTTCAATCCTGAGATGAGTACATTGGAGAGTGCCATTTTTTTCATGGCTTCATGGCCAAGAACATATCTGAAAAGGAAATGCTAAATGTTAGTGGTTAACATAAACAGCCAATTAATTGTATTTATAAGAAATTTTGAAATTAAAAACGTCTTTGGGGAACTTCTTTTGAGAAAAAAGTCAGCAGCGCTTTCCATGAATTCAAAAAACTGTAAGAAACTTTGAAGTCAACCATTAAAGTGCACATAATTGAAGTGCGAATCATGTGGGTATCCAATTACATGTACAAAAAGGTTGTAGTTGGATACCTGTAATCGGACATCCAAGTGATCGCGTGCCAATTAAGTGACAAACAGGAGCATGGAGAACCAATCACGATCGGGAATTTTGTTATAGATGTGATTATTATTATCATTATTATTATCATTATTATCATTATTATTATTAT